GCAACCGTATCGGTTAGCACTTTATACACATTCTTTGACTGGCTACTTAGCCAGCGCCAGGGCAAAGGTGGGAGGAAACGCCGAGGAACCAAGTTCTCTAGCTCCCTAGGAACGTACTGGAAGGTTTTCCGGCTCGTGTATGAAAGAGCAACTGGTGTGAAACTAGACGGAAAGATGAATCGGAGCATGCACAAGGTATATTAATCTAGATTTCTAATTATAGTCTCACATAAGCATATATGTCTAACATAAATAATAGGTACTTCGGAAGCTAGCAAAGAAGCACGATCTAAAAAAGATCGGTCGGGATAAAGCCTGCATGTATGTCGAGGATCTGGCTCGAGTACTGCAAACGAATCTGGTAACAACCGAAAAGAGATATCCTCACGGTCGCTATAGGATACAAGCCCAGCTCTACCTACAACTTGGCGGGTTTACAGCGAATCGGCCCCAGGCCCTCCTTAATCTCTGCTATCGCCATATACAAGTTACACTTCTACGTGATCCTGAGGGCGGCCCTCATCGAGTGCTCCTAGAGTTCACTTTTGAATTTACAAATGAGTTTCTTGGTATCAAAGACCTGTATGTTATCATTATATACAGGAAAGCTATGCGCTGATTAAATTTTCCTTAAGGAACACTTTTCCTCTTCCTGAGATTATGTACGATCAGACACTCCTCTTCAGTCCTCACGTCTTCCTCCTTGGGCTGCTCTTCTACGATCGGGCGTTTGCAGCCTACAATCTAACTTCGCCAGAGGAACTGAGCAGACTCAAGATCCCGCTAGGTCGCAATGAGCTCCCTCTACGCCTGAATCGGACGTTGGACAATATCCCAGTGTTTCGGAAAGCAGTGCAGACTTCAAGTGGTTGGGAAATCTCTCCTAACGAACCTCTTCCTTACTCCACTCTGCTTCCATGGATCCGGACTTTGGGTGAGATCACGGGATTCGCCCAAGTCACCCGTCCTTATTCGCTGAGATACGCCGGAGGGAAGGCGTTCAATGAGAACGGTAAGTACATCTCTTCAATCTAAACTCCATAATGCAGGATGTGGAGTTAACGTAGCGTGCAGGCAATGTCAGTGAGGCCATGCAGAATCTGATGATGGGCCATGCCAGCATCACGACATTTTTGAAGCATTATCTCTCACGACGTATTACAGTTGATACTCAGGCTGTTGTAAGAGGCATCCAGCCACAAGCAGCTCTCATGCGGTCGGCTTGTACTCTAAGCCGCTCCGTTGATCGTCGTCGGCCACGAAGACTTACTGAGGAGCAGTCTGCATCTGTAGACGATGATCCTTCTATCTGCTCTCTTCTCAACCAACGAGAGCGCCTCAAACGTACCGTTCGTAATGCAACAAAACAGCCCACGTACAAAGCGCTCACCACCAAGATTAACCAGGAGAGGCAGCGTCGGCGGCACGCCCTTCTCAAGGACGTTAAAGAACGGTGGGAGTTTGAGCAGCCTGTGCGTGATGTCGAGCGGCAGCTTGCTGGGTTAGAAACTAATGATGATCTGGAGCTGATTTACGACATTATGCTCCCAGCCCAAGAAAAGCTATGCGACTCAGTCTTGTCGAAACCAGGAGCCACTATGGAAGAGGAGGTCGCCAGGCGTAATTGCGCTATCCATGCGGTCACCCTATATTGTGGCATGGAAGAGGGGGGGATGAACCCTATCCGAAAAGGGGACCGAAGCAGGAACGCTGCCCTACCCGCCAAGAGCCAACCAGGATACGAGGAAGAAGCAGTAGAGTTAGCCAAAGTCTCTGTGTACAAGGAAAAAAGGCCGAGGGTATGTTTCCTTTGCCTAGGCAACGAAGAGCTGCCGCTGGCACAGCGCATATATGCTTTTAGCACTCCAGGCGATCTTAGCAAGCATTTTGGACGTAAGCACTTAAAAAACATCCAGAGTGGGAGGGATCTTCGCTGCAAGCTTTGTATGGTGCCCTTGGTAGACAAGACGCACTTGCAACGACATGCTCAAGAAATTCACGGAACTGTGTCCCCTAGACGTTCTTATAGTTACTGCTAGACCTAGACTGTCGTCTTAGATTATAAAGAAAATCCAAAACTTAACATAGCGATTGAGCTTTTCACAGGTGGCGTGAGTTGTTCAATCAAAATGTCCCTAGTATTAGTAACCGTGTTGTGTGCTTCCTCAACAAACGGTTAGCTGCATCATTGTCGTGTTTGCTAACAACGTGTTGTCACTCTTCCAGCATTCTTGTGAGACAGTTCTTGTTTTCGTGTCTAGACAGATATATGAGCTGTACTTCTATAGGGATCTCTCTACTACAGCGACGTAGTTGCTCTCTATTTTGGTACTTGTATTGGCTTGCTGAGCCACACTGGCCTTCGACCTAAAATTTGCGCCCCTAGAGGTTGACTGCGGAAAGTTACAGCTAGTTGTTCTACCACGCGATGCCGAGGTAGGATGAATATTATCCTAGGTGGCTTTCTGGGAGAGTAACTCGAAACAGCCTATATGACCTGATAGCTCAATGTGTTCTTGAGCTCTCGCATGAGACCAACCAAAACTATACTATCTATATCGAAGAGCTGGGACAAGGAGACTCTGAAGTTATAGTCATAGTTGTCAAGAACGAGAGCACCTACTGCTTCCATATGGCGATCACGGGTACCAATACAGACGTCGAGAACGCAAAGGCGGTCTATTCCTAGGCAATCTTGTATAGGAGCACGAGGGATGATCCTGACCTGTATCACGCTGTTTACGACAGCCTTACGCATATGGTTTTCTTTTGCCGATGTAACCCCTCAAAGGAAGACATTGAGGACGTGTCCTGTTACTCAATGCACGGAGAAGCAAACAAGGTAACACAGTGGTTGAAGACATACATCATCTTAAACGCGGAAGTCTTGCATAGGTAAAGAAAGGGTCATCAAGGCTGTAAATAGCTTGATCAAACACGCCTTATTGCTGCATTAACAGCATTGTCGTGCGCTCTTAGTGCAGCAGATAATATTTTAGAAATTGATTGTCTAAAACAGCCACTTCTGACGGATTTGCTTGTCTTGAGATCGTCTCTAACGTCCCTTACTGCGTAGCGAGACACTACGTGGCGAGACAAACGAAAGATACTTCGACTTTCAGCAACCAGAAAGCTTATGCGTACAACGAATATTGCCATAATTTTACAGAAATGACCTCGTGCACTGAATTCTCTAAAATCACGTTTGCATTGTGATTTCCTAGCCTAGTTTGTACAGCTCATCCTAGCTAATACAAAATGACCCCGCATTTCTGGCCTTATTATCCACGGACAATTTACTATGAGGTCTGTGGCTCTGCGGATTGTACAAGCGCTCGGAACATAATTAATCGACTCAAGATTGAGAGTAGTGCCAAGATAAGCACGGCCACGACGCTTACCCAGCGTCGAAACTAGCCTTGACACAGCCATCCTACATACTTCGAGATGCCGCTTCTTCACCTGGCGAATGAATTACTCTGCTCCATTTCGGAAAACCTGCAATTAGAGAGAGACATCAACGCATTTGCACAAACCAACCGTCGCCTTTATCATTTGCTAAACAGTTATCTCTACCGTTACAACATACGACATTCAGAAAGCTCGGCGTTATGGTGGGCTGCCCGACATGGCCAAGAGGCAACGGCTCAAAAGTTGCTCGAAGAGAGAGCCGATGACCAAGGCGCAAATGACTGGTATTGGCTTCTGTGCGTGGCAGCAGAGCAGGGGCATAAAGGGATGGTAAAACTGCTTCTCGACAAGGATGCCGCCGGTGACGGTCAGGGTGGAGGGTATGGCGATGCACTCCAGGCGGCTTCATATAAAGGCAGCTTGCAGGTTATGAAGCTGCTGCTTGACAAGGGCGCAGACGTTAACGCGCAGGGTGGACAGTTTGGTAACGCACTCCAGGTAGCTTCATATGGAGGCCATGAGTCGATCGTGAAGCTACTGCTCGAGAGGGGCGCACAGCAGCAGCTATAGGTTATTGCAATAGGAACACGCTGATGAACATGTCCAAGATATTAATGTAATTTAGCGCTAATTGCTCGCTGTTGCTATAAGTCTGTAATGAAAATCCCAACTTTTTCAATCTTGGGAGCCTGGCAACAAAAGGCGCATCCCTCCAAGTCCCCATTGCCCCAAATGCTGTTGGATGAACTCAATACAACGCAGGAACGTCTGCCTGCCACCATGGCAGGCCCCACTCTCTAAATGCTGAGCTAGTCCACTGAGAGTTGTAAATTGCTTTGCTTTTCCTTGCTTTGTTTCAGCCTTGCTGGAGTTGATTGAGAGGAGGTTACGTGGGCAGTGGTAGACCTTATCACAGTGTGCTGGAGATACTATGTGCTGCTGAAGAGCCTGTATCGTACGAAAGGCTTTGGACTTCCTTGGACAAAGTGGACAACGGAGTTCAGGCTTAATTCCGTCAATCACGTGTCTACTTCCAAGCGAGAGACGACTATCCTCAAGCGGTGTCCAATCTACTAGACTACCCTCTACACTACCCTGAGAGTGTGTGGGAGTGACCAGTAGCCAGCCATCTGAACTATCGAGAGACGCTGTTGGCGTTCCAGAATCAGGAGATAAACCATGTGCCGACAAGTAAGTGGAGCTCGAAGGCGTGAGTTTTGGGAGGGTGTGGATCGTGTGATCTTTGTCGTATAGCTGAACGATGTCGTAGATGTCATCACGGTCCATGCCTGAACAGCACTTTCCACTTTCCAGATGGTGCAGCAGAGCCGACGGTGCACTGAACTTTCTTTTGCATCCTTTCCCTATGGGACAGCTTAGAGCACTAAGTGGCTTGTGCTTGATCGACTCACAATGTTGTTGAAAAGACTGAAGAGACGGAAAGGTTCGCTGACATTTCTTGCATGTCCGATCACCCGCACTTGCTGTGGTGACTTTTTCCGCCTTTCTTGCATTGCCGTGGGGCTGTTGCTGGAGAGGGTTCCGATGCACAAGTCTCGCCATATGCGCGTTCAAGGCGTGGATATCTTTGAAAGAGATGTCACAGTTGCAACAACGATACTCGGAAGCATGGAGCTCTACCTCGCAGTGATTTTTCCAAGCGCTCTGGCTTTCGAAGGGGAGGTCGCATTCCGAACAGAAACAATGCCCAGTAGCAATGTAGTGGTCTTCAAAGATATCCAGGCGCTCACAGAGTTTGCCGCAATAGCCACATTTGCGAATGGTAAAGTTGTACTGAGCCACTGGAGGATGTCTGCAACTACCTCTACAGACATGTGAGGGAAAGTGACCTCGCGCCCTTCGATGTTCTTCCAGATCAATCGCATACGTATAGGTGCGGCCACAGAAGCATTCAAAAAGATCGGATGTGCGAAGCGTCATTTCGGCGATCAGTTCGATAGCTGGTACGTTCGTCACGATCAGGCGCAATGAAAGATGACTAGATGATCAAGAGAGCGATAGAAAAACCACAGATACATAGTTGTGACGCGAGCTTTTTATCCACTCCGCGAGTTCGTTTGTTACAGTATGCCAATAGGAAGATTAAGCCCCAGCCCCGCTCCAGTGATATATAGAAACCTCGTTATGCACCAATAAAACTCAAGAAATAATAGTAAAGAATGATAGAACTTGGTTGACACCAACCAGAAAAGTTCACTAATGAGTTGCGTCCGCCTTGGCCCGAACTTTGCCTTTGCACCTGCCCCGCACCACGTTGGGAGTACAGTAACGTTTGCCCCTGTTTGACGAGAAACGCTTTGTGCCGAGAACGACCAATCGGATCGCAAGGATCATAGACTTCTCTATAACCGTTGCGATCCGATTAGCCATTCTCGGCACATAGGGTTTCTCATCAAAGAGTGACAGACGTTACACTAATTCCTCGCCTCCTCTAAGCAGACGCCCACGTGTAATGTATTGCACCGACAAGTAGCCCGCCCTGCTCAGAAAGAGATCGTGGAAGTTATGCTAATAGATCGTAGAATCGATCTATTAACACATCCTCATAATAATTATACTGGCAATGTTGAAAACGATTCTGTTAACAAGGCTGCACACGATCACTGTACTTAGTGAACAATGATGCGTTGTGGATTGGGTACTCTGCTTTCCATGGCTGGTCTAAAGACTATTATCCTGATCTCTGTGGTTACGATTTTTGATTGAGCAATTAGTTACACTCTCTTGGATTTGTGAAGAAAGAGGGGCTTGTTAAGCTTATGCTTTGGACACTATGATCATTGTTCTCCCCGACGTACGCTGAACCTGAATTTTTCAAATCGCAATGACGTTAACTACTCATACAAAATTCATTTATAACCTCTAGCTTCTTCCCAATAATATAGCTTGTGAATTGCTTTCCTGTTATCTGTGTCATAAATGGATCCAGAATATCTTTCTTCAGGAATTCTAAGCAATTAGCCCTCAACTTGAATGATATTTTAAAACCATTTAGAAGTAGTCAAAGGTAGAAAATTGTTAGGTGTCATACCTCCTATGGAGTTGGGGTTAAAACCACAGCGGCACAAGCAGCCTGACAAGTACCAAAGGCGGTATTGCATGCAATGATGCTAGCAGGTGCGGAAGCACCAAGAGTGGCCCCCCAGGTAAATCCAGCTGCAGAGTAGCAGGCCATAACTACCGCAGAACAGCCCGCCTGACATAATCCGTAGGCCGCTGGTCCCGCTGAAGCCAGACTGGCAAAAGCAAGTGTGATTAAAGTAATTAAGAGCAACAATGCCATAAGGTGAGCGCGGTGAGAATGCTTAAGTAAACCTGTGAGGGTAAATGGAGAGATTCGCGGACTTTTGGATTATGAGTTTAGGTTAATGGATAACTGTTCTAGCAGTCTGTAATATTAATACTCGATTCAAGAATCACACATGACGACATACACGAACACGAACGATCGGCTTGTGATACTGATATAGCTCGTGACTTTTAGGCGAACAGAGACCCTTGTTGGTTCAGATATATGAGCAGAATCAGGACTCGAAGCCATTTCTGCCTATCAATGTTAAAGCGGGCTAGATTTTCATAGCTCGGCGTGGTGGAAACTTCTACCCACGGGAAGGGAGGTTAGTGCCTCTTCCATTTGTCGTGCGTACCCCGCACTGCAAGCCTTCAAGGGATCAGGTCATCGATCGGCTCGACAACCCCGCTTCTAATTAGCTTGGCTACTAGGATGATCGAGATCATTAGAAAAAACCTCCAACGAATGGGCTCCATTTATGTTATTGGGCGCCGCTTTATGTTCAAACGACTCAAACTCTATATGTAACGAGCGTCTCTGCGTGTCGACAGCCCCAGTGTGTCGAGAATGGCCAATTGGATCGTAACCGCTAGAGAGACGTCTATGATCCTTGCGATCCGATTCGTCATTTTCGGCACACAGAGACGGACGCTAGCTAACGAGTTATGAGAAGCGATTATTAAGATTGACTATGCGCTAGTCCTGGAGCGCTTAAAAGAGGGGACGTGACTTACAGCGACATGCAATGACATGCGCTTACAGTTATCGTGACCATACTTTAGTTTCACGGCAACGTCTTCGATATTAACATCCAACCAGCAGATCTCTGAGCTCTAAATTAGCAGATCTTATTGCTAAATTATGTATAGAAAACGCATTTAACAATAAAGCTTATCAACAGTAGCTTACGGCGCTTATAGCAGAAAGTGAGGTGATAGTAGCCAGTATTCACAAGCGATCTCAACACATGGAAATGGAAGAAGACATTGCATCCAGTTAGCACTTTTTTGGTTCATACGCCTCACATTCTTTGGATACACGCAATCGCCAGCTCAGAAGTTCGCTGAGAAATGCGTCTGCAATTGATGTAATTTGTAACGCTCCTGTTCTTTACGGTACGATTGATATTGCTGTCATTCACTTCACGATTACAATCCGTGCTTCTAGGATGCAAGTCGAGGATGATTTGGATTTAGCAATTAGTTAGAGCACTGAGGAATGTGGGCATTACTACAATTTTGAAAGCAGCGATGGTGTGGATAAAGTCCCACCCTTGGGAGACTGCTGCCCTGATCATCCCAGTGCTTCCTACAATATGCACACCTGCTTTATTGGGGGTTGCTGGGTTTACAGCGAGTGGTATTGCGGCAGGTCTGAACTTGAATATGCACCCTGATCGCCGCATGACTGACATACGAATAGGTAGCATCGCAGCAGGTATTCAAGCTGGCATTGGAAACTTTGTAGCTGGTTCTATCTTCGCAACTCTCACGAGTGCAGTAATGCCGGGATATGGTGTACCTATCATCTCTGGAAGTGTCTGGAGCATCAGCAGTGTCGTGTGCTGGGTACTCGCGGCTTGGAAGAAATGAAAGCAAGACTCCGACTATGTAGATAGTGCTGGTCATGGTAAAAATCTCACCGATGTCGAGGGCACAGAGAATACTGAATCGAGTCCAAGATTGCTGGAGCAATAGCGTGTTCATGTATCACGAGGTGGTACTATTGAACTAGTTACTCAAGGCACTCAACTAATAAGGAAAGGGTAGTTACGCCTCTTTATTTATAACTCTCTTTAGTAAGACCTCCGCGTAGCTTTTCAATGCTTTACCAACAGTAACCTGAATTACCTTTCTTACATTTCATGCACCTTGCTTGCAAAACTTCCATTCTTTGATGCGAATGACATGATAGGCAATGTCCAAGAAAAGGAATAGTAGTATAGCATCTCAATAGATCCTTTGTGAAGTCGGGAATTTCAGAGAGGACCTTATTATACATTTCTGCGACCTCCTTGTTATCAAGCATTTCTGGCAAATGCTTCCGGATGGCTAGGCAGGCTATGTTTCGCAGCTGTTTAGTACTGACAGTTGTGGTTTCATAGACATCTTGGAGTGAAACTAGCAGCTCCAGAGGTTCCCATGATGTGGTGCACCTAGAATAGTACTTTTCTGCAGCTAAATGGATTAAGCCTGGAATGTCGTACTGATCTGCAAGTGCAAACATCCTGGCATGGAGTTGGAGTAGGGATATGTCAGCTTCCTCTAGCAGGGAGTCATCATACTCAGAGCTGTAGAGAAAGTCGACCAATTTCTTTAGTTCTACGTGGTGCACATGATCCATCTGAATGGTGCCTGTAAACTCCTCCTAGCACTATCTTAGCAACAGGCGGAATCCCAAGCAATGATGTTGACTTACCTTAAACCCACCAGTGCATGCCTTATAGAACACCTTCGATTGAGGACAGACAATGATACGGTGGACGTGGAAGCTTCCAGCGTTATGGCTGAGCACGAGGTCAACGAATTCGCCATGATCTCGTATCCTGTTTGATATTAATGCTAGTTATGCGAAACAAGAAATCATATTTCCTACTTAGAGATGGCCGGGAGAAGTTGATTGTCGGTAGCATGAGTGCACATCGCTATAGGGATCATTGACTGGGTGGGATAATTCTCAGCTGGAGGTTTCAAACTGTAAGCTGAAATTAGAGATAATAAAGCCAGCTTGCCATTATGTAATGCTATGTAGACACCCCCGCATTTTCTTCCACAGATGTCATAGCCATAGTGCGTCCACGATCATTAGTACGATCCAAGCAAACAAAAGGCGCTAAAGATCGGTGCGATGAAAATTTACAGTACTCGCAAGACAAGATTGGGCACAGTCGAGATCGCGAACGCTTGCGCAGTCTGTTACATAATTGGTACTTCTAATTGGCAAGCAAGTGGTCCGTCTCCAACGTCAACCACAAGCTCAACGTCAATTTTGCTCCCCGCTACTACTTTAACTCAATTTTTCTCCACACTAATATTTCACAACGCTTTAGAACTTACGTGTAGATTAAAGAGCGTATTCAAATTACTATTTCTAAGTTAGATAGTAGTTTTCATATGTAACTAGCTTCTGCCCGATCATGCAAGTAGCTTATAAATCGCATTCGTCTTATTTTTGCTAACTAACTAGTTAGTCAGTTATACATGAATCTAGCATATCTTTTGCCGCACGCGGAGGCGAGGTAGATTTAATAAGTGTATTGTTTTCTGTTATCTACTATCTTGAGTTGCAATTTTGTGGTGTATAGCCATTGGATTTTCTTGTTGAGGCGGTGCATCCTTGTTGCCATTACAGGGGCTCGTTACTTTGGCGCAGCTGAAGTCATTGCCTCTATGGCCTCGCTAGGTCGTGAAATGATGACCTAGTATGGATACCCCTCATTTGCCTCTACAAGTGTCATAGCGATAGTGCATCCACTGTCATTGGTATGTATTCGTTGTGTGCATAGGCTTTCTAGCTACTAACACTCTAAGTACTCCTATTCGTCTTAGTATATAGGGTATCTCCCTATACAATAGGAGATGTTAGTTAGCAACAAACTGTTCACGAGTGCCTGCAGAGTCGCGGATGACACGTGGCCATAAATAACCTTCGAATCTCTAAATGCGGCGACCTAAAAATCTCGAATATGACCCTTATCCATAAAGGTGTCAGTAGCGGTTGCAAGCACGATTGTGTATAACTAGTCTAAGTATACTGAAAAGGGATCTTAAGATATACTTGCGCCTAGATCACCTGCTACTACACCATAATACTCAGGCTTACTGGTATGTACTTACGCCTTAGGTGCAAGGCACTGACCCTACTGCTTGCTCTACTTATGTACCCTACACCACTAGTGCAAAACGTGATGTTAGTGTTATATAATTAGAATCCGCATGTTTCTTTAAGCAGCGTTACACGGTCAACAAAGCCTGGGTGGCTATATCGTTAGCCCTATACCTTCAATTTCTACCCAGATCAGTTTATTGATGCATCTCTCAAGTTATTAATTGCTGTTGTTCTGCTAATCACTCCAGAATTTTTACTTTAACCTTATCCGACTCTTTCTTACGAACCTGATGATATAGAGCGTTCATCTAGCGGAAAAAGTGGCTATTGGAAGCACGTCTATAAAATATCATGAAACCCATAACTGCCCAACTTGCCCGGAAAAGAGAAAGGAACCGTGAGAGTCAGCGAAGGTCGCGCCAGAGGGTCAAAGATCAGATTGATGCTCTTGAACGACAGGTTTGGAATCAAGTGTTCAAACATAGACTGTCTCATTAACAGCCTTAGAACAGAGAGCTTGAGCTAGACAACAGATCGCTGCAGAAGCAGCTGCTACATGCCCTAGAAGCTATAGAAGCGTTCGAAAAGGGTGCGAGTCTCCACCAAAACTCTATCGTTAAGCAGAAAGTGCATATTTAACCTATATAGCTTTGTGTCGATCTAATGTAAAAGCAGAAGCCTTAATAGATACCAATTTTCATACGCCACGCACTTCAAGTAATGCTCCGGTATCAAAACACGACCTATTAACTCCAATGTCATATTTGAACCACAGCTCATCAAATATATGTGCCTTATCACCCTTAACTTACAGATATAGTTCTTTCAACACAAATGACCGTCCTAATGTAGGTAGCATGTACGAAAGTAAAGCCGAGCTGGAAAACAGCTGGGAGTACAGCTCCCTACACTTATCACCGGACATAACTGAGACAGCCGGTATCATATTTGAGGATTGGGAGACGATATCATTTCCAGCACAGCAAGTTAGCGAAGGTGGTTCATTAGCGGAGTGTTTATAGTGCATTTAGCAAAAGCACAAAGCCAATAGTGTCGTCGTCATTAGAGAGCTTGATTATGCTTTCCCAACGTTCCGCCAAGTCCTCCCAATAAGCACCCACAAGAAAATCTGAGGTAGGAACTAGTTGATAGAGTTGTTCGAAGAATTATTACAAAGTTTAGAATTTTCCACGTGCTTTTTTCCTAGCGCGATGTATATCGTGTTTAGCGCTGTAGGTACCAGTACTATCTGCCCATCTAACGAGCTTGCCGCTCATAGGCAATGTCTTATGAGTGTGTTGCTCGGTCGCTTCTTGGAGACGAGATACCAAGTCTTCTACATTACCTAATGTATGTTCTAGCTGCCCCTTTATATTTTTCAATTCCTCCAAGAAATCTACCACTTCGGTATGACTCTCCTCAGGCTTGCGCTCTATATAGTTTTTAAGCGCTACTCGATCTGTAGGGAGGATAGCCTTACTAGCGTTGGTGTGTGAGGCTGCTTCTTTGGTCTCGCGCGAGGTGAATTTGCCAGGCTGTTCCTTGCTCTTATTACCGGACTGCTTGCTTGCAGATGCCGGTTCTGCTCGATCTACAGCTGGATAAACGACATTATCTCTAACTGATAGACAGTTTTGATATCCCTAAGATAATTAATAATGATCGTTAATCGTGCAGCATCTATGCATACTTGGTACAATGTATCGTCTGGAATAGTATCTTGAGAACTCATCGCTCTCTTGGTTTCTTGAGAAGGCACAGACTGCAGGTTGGAAGAGAAGTAGTCTTGTGAGAGGGATTGAGAGCTTACTATATATCATTCGTCTTGGCTAGACTAGTTAGGACGTCGGACGTGGTACGCAATGACATTCTAAATCGCCACAGGGGTCAATAATCCTATACAGCGCGGCGCATATTACTTGCATATGAATCAGTATCAACGCACACAGTCAGTGGGGTGAAATAGATGCAGAGTTAGCATCAGTTGTCTATTGGGACTTAGTGCCAAGGTAACAGGAATTGTCGGTTTCTTTCTAGAGCTAACCTATCTATGGTGATAGTACCATTCCATGGATTTCTATAGTAACAACGTCATTTTCGCAATAGAAATTGTTATGCTATACATCGTCAAGCAATTACCCCTAGAGATAAACAGTTTGCTCGGTTTTAGAAAGCGCGGCAGTAATAGTTTCTTCAACTAATACAGCAGTTTCTGTGCCTCATTCCTAGACACAAAACTAGAGAGATGGTTGCATAGTTCGGGTTCAGGATACCGGTGTAGGTGATGGTGCCATTGTGAACAGTTGCGGTCATTGGCCCGTTTTTGATAGCCTGCTGTGCTGCCTTCTTTAGGTGAGACGCCTGCTTCGAGCTGAATTTGGATTCTGCCAGGTAGATGCATTGGTTAGCAGGAACTTGGAAGCGGACATGATCTTAAATCTATCTCTGCTGCATCTGTTATATATTTAACATAGTCCCTTCATTCATCGTGCTCAGCCAGTCCTGCAACCTTCTCCAATCTCCTTGAATACCTCTCAATACTAAGCTTGGTATACCCTGCGCTGCGCGAGACCAATGTCGTACTACACGTTGTCGATCGGAATCTATAGGTATAGAGAAGACCCGAACCACCGCTCCCATTGGGGTTTTCTGATTTTCCGTCAGGGAAACGAAGTTGGAAACCTCCTGCACGTACAGTTGATGTCTTTCGAAGGATTGATTTATCAGTTCGAAACTCGCAGCGGTCACCCACTAGAAAGCTAGACTTGTGAAGGAAGGGTACTTTTAGGTTATATCGAACCGACAAAGTATAATCAGGTTGTGGATATCATATCAAAAGAACCAGCACCGCGGAACAATAAAGTGAGGACACCATTGCTGATTAGATATAATTCTAATTAATGCAGGATCGATGTCAAGACTGGACTCTAGATTGCGTGATTGCACTCGAAGCTGAGGAATTACTCCCTGCCGGTACCTCAGGTTGGATTGAAGGAATCGTCGGGAAGCCTTCTAAAGACGTTGCAGCAGCAGTGGGTGGGAGATGGACCGCAGCAAGAAGGTAGAATTGGGGTGACAAGGGAGATCTNGATTAGGTAAACCTCATAGTCCACTATATCGAACCAGCTCACGCTCAAGTTCTAATAGTAAGGCATAAGTGTTATCCGGTATCTTTGGNATTATCTGATCGATCATGGAAGACCACAAAGAATTACGAGCGCGCGACTTTGCTTCAAAGTATTCACGTTCAGGTATACTGAACCCTGAAACTCCCATGTCTAGGATAGCAACCACATTGAGTTGGTCATCAACGAGTATATTGTCTGGGGTAAGATCTCCATGGCAGAATACAGCGCAT